GATGCCGCTAATGAAGTTCATTAACAAGTTGATTAAAAAATTAACGTAGAAGATTATGTTGATATTCATTGCATACCTTTGTATCATAGCAATAGTGATCAGAAGATCATTTTATTTTTGTAAATGAAATTCAAGGCATGCTTCGATATCTTACTTTATATAGTCAATACTGTAGCACTAAAAGATTTCAGATCTATTACAATATTATCGATTATCGTCTTGTAGACGTATAAAAAACTCTGATACAGAAATGATCCTATTAGCATCGATCAGCAATCCTATTCTATTCTATTGATTGTATTAGCTTCGAAATCTTTTACGATAAACTCTTACATTGCCGGATGACCCGGATCCCAATATTGCTGTCGATCATCTCCACACTTGCTGTTTGTTGTACTGTACATACTTTTTGCTAAAAGGCCCCAGCATGATCTGCTTGAAAATGCTTAGCTATAACACCGTGGAAAAAATGTAAATCTGCCTTAGAAATGAGTAAATTAATGAGTTCTGCCCGAGTCATTTGTCTCGATCTTAACTCATCGACCACTGTTATGACCTTATTTTCTCAGAGTTGCTTAAAAATACTTCTCCATTACCGTATTGATATTTTAGTAATGATGAAGATCTTGTCTAGAGTTGAACATATTAAATTCCATCATCGACTAATTCTATCCTATTGATCCAATCAAGATGTTAGCTCCTCAGCCATGATAGCGAAACGTCTTACAGGATTGCTATTGCACTTTTGCCGATTTTTCCCAGTCAATACAACTGTATACAACTTAATAATTCTGAATTAGATCAAATTAAAATATTCATTTATCTTTATCTACGTAAACGTGTAAGATCTAATATACAATTGCACATAGTAGAATCGATTACAGTGAAAACTGAATTATCCATTTATCCAGACTTATTAATCTTTTATTAATTAATTATAGTTATCCCCTATCAGATAACTCCTAAAGTGGCTATGATGTTTTGGCCATTCATTCCATGTATAAATTACTAGCGCTCCATATCTTATGATAGACATCTATAGGTACCTATTCGTACTCAATCGATAACATCCAGTATATACTTTTACGTTATGTAGTACTAAATAGTTGGGAGAAGAAAGTTTTAAGGATTTCCTACAAATGTCTGAAAACTATTTACATTCTTTATAAAGTTTTACAAGAATAGATGCTGATTTACTACCGCATTGAATCATTGTTTACTATTTAATTCGATATATGATCATAAATTAGCCAAATATCCAGGTTGCAATAACTACAATGTATGTAATAAATATCAATCAGACAAACTCAGTCAATAACAAGCTCTTCCTATACTACACAGAACATAATGATGGAAAAAATATTATTCTGAAGTAGCATTCTTGTTTACAACTGTGCTACGATTCCAAAATTGACATGAACCTGTTAAAAACAACTGACACATTAAGGTTAATTAGTATCCTGCTGTTACCTTTAGTAGACCTTGTTACACCAAAGTAAGACGTGTATATCCATCATTTAAGCACTTGAAAAGTCCCTGGTATAAGCTCGATTAACAGCAAGTTATCTATCTATAATCTGTATTCTATCCTACATACGAGTATATATCATCTTTATATTGATACAATGCTACACATCTGATACTTTTACATGTATTAAGAATGAAATAACAAACTCATTTTACGTGATCGAAAAATCCTATCTTGTAATATCATTCTTCTTTTATGACTATGCTATTGGGGGGGGGGGGGTAGATTCTTGAATAAAAAAGAGTAAATCTTTTAAGAAAATACACAACGAATGATAAACTTTATATACAGTATGAAATCATAACGACAGCCTACTATCACGGTTACAGTTTGCATGTGCTACCAAATGCTACTAAGAAACGCAGCTCTTCCCCCAAGAAATTATCATGATACTGAAATGGAAATCACAGAATTGCTTAATTTTCTACGTTACAGTAAATAGGAAATTTCAATCAATTAACCACACTGTATCAACAATATTATACAATACGTCGTACGAGCAAATTACAGTATACTGCTATTCGAGTATGTTCCAACTGACGAGTAATGACTTTCTTGTTCTATTCTATCTTAAAGGAAAATGATGCTACCTTCGTTATAACCAACATGATTATAACGTCAAATCAAACTAATGGTATCTGCTCTGAAGTAAGTTCATCATTATTCGGTCGTTAAATTGACTGCCATCGTATATACGTATATTGATAATTCAGTTCATCACGACATCGTTACTCAATTATAAAGCTCTTGAGTGTACAGTCCTTACTTCTAGAAGCGAGCTTTAATCAATGAGTGCTTAGCTAAAGAGCAATTTATTGTGTAAACAACTTTTGAGTATTACTTTGAAGTAATAAAATCTCTTAATTATAGACTCATAAAAACCATGATGCACACTGTACTAAAGATATGGATTGCCCAAAAGGCATCCCTATTAAGGATGGTCATGGTAAGTTGGTCATGATTGAACTGTGCTTGTTATGATCAAAGTATCAATTTTAATTGATTATTACTGTATTGTTTTACTTAAAATGCATTGAATACATTAATTAGTGTGAAATATAAAGATGTTACCACTAGTACATACAGATCATACAGTACTCAGTATCTACAGTATGTAATATATTCTGCATTGTTTAATAAGTAAAAAGATTAAAACAGCTTAGACATTAATTTACCAATAAATTAATCTAGGTGTCAGAACAGGTAAATGCGATTTGTCAACCAAAACCTGTAAAATCTATGCTTGGTGCCCAATAGAAACTGATCAGCTAAAGTAAGATTATTAAAAACAATTCTTTTATTCTGTATATCAACTTTATGCCGACACAATAATTCAATATTAATTAAGTATTTTACTTACGCTAGATATCCCTTTCCTATTTTGGAAGATGCAAAAGATTTTACCTTATTAATTAAAAATTCTATTCAGTTTCCTAAATTTCAATACAGAAAGTAGGTACTAGGTTGCACTCTGGAGTATTGATATTGTCAAGAATCGTCTAGATGCATATAGGATAATCCGTCACCCGTTATCTAAAAGTCTTCAATGCATCTCTTTCTAGGCGAAATATTGCTAACGTATCTTCTGACTTCCTAAAGTCGTGCCGTTATAGCCCTAATAATGCTATGAGTAAGCTCTGTCCAATATTTACCATTGACTCCATCGTTAATGCTACTGGCGAATCTTTTAATCCGATCGCTTACCTGGTAATTTTTATTTAGTATTTGCTTTAAACCGTTATATATGAGAGATTTGTATAAAAATTGCATTTCATGTTTCCATTAAACAGGGGGGTGTCATCGCAATATTAATTCGATGGGATTGCGACTTAGACTTTGGCGATAGCAAGTGTCTACCTGAGTATACCTTTCAACGGTTTGTGTAATGTAAAATAAAATATGTTGCAGTGGTTAATCTTTCGTTACAACTTCTTTGTTCTTTGCCGTTCTTGGTTTACAATTTAGGCTAGATAATCCGAACGTTACACTGTCACCCGGATATAATTTCAGGTTTTAATAAATTGATTGTCTATTCCATGTCATATGTCTGATATTAACGCTTTTACAACTTTTTTTCATCAATTTCAAATTGATTCTTAGATTTCCCATTTACTATCAAATTGATAATACTCAGCACAGAACTTTGACGAAAGCTTACGGAATACGCTTTATTTTTATTGTTTTTGGACAGGTTAACAATACTTTTAGTATATTACAACTATTGTTTCAAAATTACATCACTATATGCTAATTAATATATTGCCAGGCCGGGAAATTCAATATCGTGCCCCTGCTATTAAATCTTGGATCTGGTCTCGCACTGCTTTCTATTGTTAGAATTAGTCATAGCATTATATAGTTAACGCGATTATAGCTTAATTTTTAGATACTGACTCAATGATCACTTCGTGTTTATAACCATATCTGATAATAACTTGCTTTCTTTACATTTGTTATAGGCTACTGTCCTTTGTGATATCATAGTGCTATACTTTATTAGAGGCCGAATGTACTATTATGGACACAAGTACGAAGTTATAGAGGAAGCCGATGAAGAATCTGTAAGCTTTGCCTTGCTGAGATAATAATACATTATTATAATTCAACGGTGTAAATTTATTGCAGTTGAATATCTTAATTACTTCAGGAATCGTTTATACAACCCGTGGAAAACAAACGACTTTGACTTTACTCTACTAAAGTCAATTATTATCATACAAATATTTCCGTACTATACTTAGATATTGATTAAAAGAATTGGCAGATTCTTGAAAATTTTGTTAAGTCAAAATGAAATTTAATTTACTATATGATGTAATTTCTTATTTTGTTATGTAGTAGTTTATCTCATCGAATTAATATTTTATCTATATACTCCTTTCAAGGTATTATAAATATCTTGTGCCAAATTATAGAATATATTTCAAACTGTACTTTTATCTATAAATACATATACGGTACATTGCTTGTAGAATTAAGCGGATTTTGATTGCAAAACATTGTATAAATTGCTGTATTAATGCTTTGATACTTATGCACTAACCCTTCTATGTACAAATATACATAATTGTTACAATTACTTTTAAAAACTAGTTATGCTTGTTACAAATGCTTTGCTAATATGCATAATGCATTATAGATATTGCCTAAATAGTGCAATATTAACTATCTGCATATAAATTTTACGCTAATACATGACAGTTGCTGAACTTACATAGCTGTATTAAATGAAATACCTAGTCGCTTTAGAGCATAGAGACTACTAACGACTGTCTGGAATCGTTAACTATTAAATTACTAGCAATAGTAATACTATAATTTCAAAACGAATTAAATTTAATTTGTAGTCCTGCGCTTAATGCTTTGAGTAGGCGTTGACCTATTTGGCTAGTAACTGACTAGTGTGCTGCTAACAAATGCTACCGCTACACCCCATGCTAAACTAGCAATTTCATGCAATTGAAATGTGCTTCTAGATGCATAAAGTGTTATAAAATTGATTCATAATAGTATAGTACGTTTATAGCGATATCTACACTGCGCAAATAGATACATACTTGTATTATAGGCAATGAAACTGTACAGATTAGACTAGCTAATATCGATCTCATTTATTCTACTCTACTTGTAGATTAATAACGCAGATAATATCGTTGTCAGTTAGAAAATCTATGGGATGGCGAGGCAAGCTACTTAAATAATAATTTGGATTGTTAGCAAAAAAGGTCAAAAAAATTATTAGGCCACAATTATTTAGTATTAAGGTATTAAAAATAGTTATAATCCTGCTATACTACCGTGAATTCATGATCAAATGTTGTTGTTCTTTATATTCCTGTATCATAAGTGATCGTGAATTGAATATGATCAAGGAATATAATTATACTTTCAATGATGCATTTAGCAGCGATTCTAATATTGTAGATATCTAGATGTGATGGAGTATGTACACATTGATATTCTCTACTTTCTTACTGTAAAAGTCACTAACAGATTACGGGATACAGTTTCGACTTCGAGTAACAATTATACATGTAGAAGTAAATTATATTTTCGACAACATTTCCATGTTTACAAATGTAGGCCATAACCTAGTAACGTACTAGCAATGTTGAACTAAGTATCTTAATAATTAATTATTATCTAAAATAGCTAAGAATGTGAAACACATATTGTGTTTAAGCTGAACATACTGTATGTATCAAAAATTGTATTTCTTTTTCGTTTATTGATCAAATACTGTGTCATTGATTAACACTGTGTCAAATTATTCTGAATAGTCACCTACATTATAAAGAAACTAACAATATTCTTTAATGATTATAATAATGAATAATAGCATAGGCCATATAGTATGAAGAAACACTACTGTAATTATGAAGCATTATATAATACAGAGCCAGATTTATAATAAATATCCAATATCAAACTATATAGTGCTTCTACATATTTGATACAGATTCATAGGTATGCTCGATGATGACGATTAAAAGATTTTCAGTATGACAGTAACATAGAATGATTTCATAAAGAAGTAATGCTGATATGGCTAATTGATTCGATGTTAATTTAATGTTTGCATTTTATAAATGCGTTTACAAAGAACTATTACGTTGTTTGAATGCTAAATCCCTAGAAATAGAGCGGCGTTAGCCAATCTTCAGCAATGACTAGCTTGTTGCATTATCCTCTTCACCAGCTGTCAATTTTTCTAGTAATATTTGAAGAAACTCTGATCCATCGCCATTAAAGTCTTTCAATAGAGCAGACAGATGATCTAATAGGAGAGTGCAGTTCATTACTATCACTAAAAGTCATTATTAATTAATTTACTTGTAAATTAACTTTTTCAGTACACTAAAACTTTACTTTCATAAATTCTTAAGTAATTTAATTATAGATCAATACAGATTTACAAAGTTTGATATAGCTGTACCTGTAAACTTCTTTTTGTATTCTTGAAATTTCGTGGAATCGTTTACGTCAGGCGCCTAGCCAATTATATTTCGAAAATAGAACAGTTGGTCATAAATTTTGCAAACAATTATATCTTTCTAATATCGTAGAGTATTCTAACATGTTAATTTTATACCTGCCGCTGCGAAATTTCCGATGGATAATCCTTCAAAAATTGAGCTAATCTATCTTCCAGGCCTGATAATTGAGTTCGGACGTATGATATATCAGTTTCTTTCATTAACGATGCAATATGACAGATTGATACATATATCTACAAAATAAAAGAATTGAATTGGTTATTGTAAAAATAAATTAAAAGGACATGATAATGTCCGCAATGATTTAAATGCATAGCTACCTGATCCTTAAGATTATTGAGGTGTCTATATTCATTGAAATCTGTTGTCACAGCACTACTACTCAAGCAGACAACATAACTTTTCCATATACTAGCATAAAGTGCTGGGTCTCCATAGCATCTTCGATCGGAAGCAGATGACAACGCTTGCGCGGCAGTGATACGAACCTATTAATATTACAGAATATCCAGAATCATAAATATTTGATCGTAGTACGGACAAGTAAAAATTTAGATTTCACGAGATATCTGAAACATAAGTTCCTACTTTAAAGTTCTTGCAAGTTTCGATAGCAAACATCAACGTGTTAAATACCGATGTCTAGAGAAGAATGAAAATTGCTCAGCATCAGTATTGTCTAAACATACGCTTATAATAAACTTCAGAAAATCCATATACCGTCCACTTAATAGCTCCTACAGCAATTGCGGTATTTTGAAACATCTTTCCTAACGCGCTACAAGCATTCCATCTCACCTTATTATGAGAATTTGTGGAGAAAATTTATTACATACAACGACGAGAACGTACTGAAATAGCAGATTACATTGGACAATAAACAACTTCTGCACCTTCATCATCCCGGATCCAACACTTTTACTTAAAAGAGCCATGGACTTGCTGATGTAGTCTTGAAACTCTTCCTTCTCTATTGGCCGATCATTTAGATAATAAGATTAAACGAATTCATCTTATATACAAAGCATATTAACTGCTGTACTTACCGAGATGATTACTTGATAGGAACTGCAGCATATTTCCCAAAGCACGCATTATGTTAAACTTAATCTGAGAAGGTGAATAAAAGTATTATAAATTTAATACATCTGTTTATGTAAACCCGTAGTGTAACCTATCTGTCTTACAAGAAAGTTTAAAAATGGTAATATCCTATTAATTTACCTTATCATTGTCATCTGTAGCTTTTAGAATTACTGCGTAAATTCTCGATATAAGCTTCATAGAAAAGTTTTCATGATACTGTGATCTGTATACGTAGTAAATAACAAGCTAAAGTCTGAATCTTGCTAAATCCTACATATAGAATTTTCAAAATAGCTACCTATTTACTACCATCGCATCAATTACATTAGCAAGAGACCATGCAGCCTTTACTCGAACATTTAGCTGACTATTTTCAATAGCATTTAGTATTTCAATTACGCAATCAGCAGTAAATGAGGTGTCCTAAGTGTGTGAGTTAAGGGACAATAGTAAGCATTGAGACAAGTTAGATATCTACTTTGATGCTAAAAAATTAAAAATAATACTCACATCGCGTAGCATTGGGTACATCGTAAAAACCCCTACACATCGTACCGCTGAAGCCTTGAAATGATCAAAGTGATTCAATCTTAAAAACTATTAACTTTTTTGCTCTTTGTTAAAACTGAATTCATAAAATATTATTTGTTTATGCTAGATTTAAAAATGAAAGTTCACCTTAACGAAAGGGTTCTCATCTTTACAGAGCGTGAGTAATGTAGTCATACAGAAAATTCTTAATGTCATCTACAAAAGGAGATTATGACGTTAAATAATAATACCATCTATTTAATTTTACGGCATAAAAACATGATATGCTATACAAATTCTTTATTCTCGTAATAGTCTATAGTTTTATCTTACTGGTAATTCCTGAAATACTTCAGCTCCAATCATAGATAAACAATCACAACCTGCAGCACGGATCGTGCTGTTAACACTGGGTTGTGAGAGATTTTGCAACACATCAGACAAGAGATATTTCCAGTAATTAACCGCTTCAAGCAAATATGCTTCCTTATTATTTGCGTCCGCTTCAGCAATGTTCCGTTGCCTAATACGAGCAATTTCTTCCAGCAGTTTAACAGCATACAATGTAATCTTACGATCACCATCAGCCATGCAATCAGAGGCAATGTTTTTAAGGTCATGTAATGATTTCCGTACGATTTGAGGATAATTAGCAGCAAACACAATTAAGACTTGCAGTGCATCCTCTGCTATCGGCGACTGCAGTGATAAACTGTTCATACTATCATCTAAATTCGTAACTTGCTTAGACTCATATAACAGATTACTGCATAACTTTATAAGCCATGGCGAGTGATTTGATAACGGATGAGCATTATCTATAGGTTTAAAGTTATAGCCAGGATACACTGATGCAGAAAGCAATTGTTGCATTTCTGATGATGGTCCTTCAGTTGAAATAACTGATGTAAGACAGGCTAGAAATGCTACTCGAATGTTGTGATCTTTTTTATACATATAATGTAAGATACTATCGATTATCTTGGATAAGAAACCTTCCTGCAATCTATTGTATGGAGTATTTGTAACAACAACGGCTAGACATTTAAGAATTTGAAGTATTAATTGATTGGAATTTGCTTGTTGTAAAGATTTAATTAAAGAGCGATGTACTTCATGTAGCATAGATGCTAAAGTAAAGGAAAACGAGATAAAAGGTCCATTCGATTTATCCTTGTAATTTGCAGCCGTTAGATAGGACTTTGAACCATCGAATAGAGCTGTTAGCAAGAATAGGCCACCCTGGCGACACTTTATTGAATTGTCCTTGGTAATACATGTGAAAATGCTTGGAGCTTTGCTTTCAGTACTATCAGGTATGAAGTAATGCCAATAACCTAAAGATGTAGCTTTTCTACATCTTTTGAAAATAGTTTGTAAGCAGGATAAAGCACTAAGGCGGACTTTAGACATGGCTGATTTTAGTTTTAATACTTGGCCACTTTCATTATCGGAATACTCCGATTCAGAAGTGACCAAAGATTTCATGGACAGACTTGTATTGAATCCATGAGCAGAATCAGATGTTTTGAGAGCAATTCCTGCTGAATCGGTAGATAGTGGCGAAGAGATTGCGTCCATGGCGGCAGGATTGCTAGAAATTTTGTCGGTATTTTTACGAGGATATCTAGAACGTTTTTGAGATGATAGTGCACCGCTATCTTGCGCTTTTGTTGGAGATCCCCCTGTTTCAATGGTATCAATTGGGATTATTATTTAAATAAAATGAGTATCTTAATTTTAGAGGATCATGATTATAGCTACAAAGTAAACTTTACCGTGAGTTAATAAGACCGAAGCTTGAGCTTGCGTTAAAGTCACTTTCTCTATACCATGTAGCATGAATACCTTTTAAGTAAGGTTGGAAAAAAGGTGTAATACGTTGGTATTATATTTCTGACAATTTATTAAAATTTTTCACAATTACCAGCAGTATTATTATAACAAAATAACAGGAAAAAGACATACCCGCAGAACAGAGATTAATGGATTTAACGAAATAGTGTCTAGATTATGAATTGCTGACAGTAGGTTTTGTAGAGATCGTAATGTGGAATTAAAATTCTGTAAAATGAAGATTAATCAATTTGTATGAATAGTCCAAAAACCTATTGGTGATTTCAAAGTGATTATTATGAAAATGATGTTCTAAATCAAACAGGAATAATCAATACCCGACATGCCCTTAGAGGGTCAGTAAAGTTTGTGTCTAAATATGTTTCCATTGTCTTTTGCAGTATCTCATAAGACATTTGATAATGTTTCAATTCCAATGATGCTGCTGCAGCTTTTACTGATCTTTAATTTATTATTGTAAAGAAAAAAATCTCGTTAAAATTATGTCATGGTGAGAATAATTTTAAAAATATAGATTAAAAGGGTTAAAGAATATGCCTTTACGCTGTAATAATATTAACAGACTTACTTGAATGTAAGGTTGCCAACACATTGAATAGCTAATCGAGATATCTCGTCATTTTTCGATTGGGAGTAACGAGTTAGAATACCAATCGGTTGGGATGTATTTAACATTTGGTTACAAAACTACACAAGATTGTAGAAAGTCGAAAACATTGGAATAGCTATTACCCTATCAATATTTCAAGTACTGTATATTAATACCGAGAATAAAGTGTCCATTACCTTTAAACAGTTTGCTCCTCTACCGTATAGAATGGCCCCTAGAGCTCTTAATGAATCAGTAACGGACCATTCATAACATGTATTAGAAAACTGAATCAGAAAGGTTAATAATTCATCGAGGGTCTTGTGATTTAACTTTACCTAACACACAAAATACAATTGATTATTCATACGTTATCAATCAAGCATATAACAATACCAATAAGAGGAGAAAATGAAATGATTCAATCAACTTACATCCTGCTTATAAACAGCATTGTAGATATACTGACAAAATTTGACTACCAAATGTTCATTTGATGAAGGAATCAAGCAGCAAGAATGGAGTAGCAATTGGTTGCATTCCTATAGACAATTAGGTAGAAAGTATTATTACTTTAAGGTTACTTCAGTCCATACGATAATCATTGTATCATTATTTAAATGTAATTATTATCTATCTAATTTTAGGCGTAGGGCAAATAAATGTTCAGACAAGCGGAAAATGGCTAAATGATGTCATGATTGACGTTTCATTTACGAGTATACTTCTGTCGCAAATGACTACACGAAATGATAGGGTCTGCGATAGTGATCTATCTGTGGATCAATTCAATTAGACGGACCTACCAAATTTTACTCTCCTCTATCATATCCTATCTACTGTATATTACATTTATTGTCATCAAAATAGAGAGATCTGGTAAAGAAGCTGTACTATACAAGACTTTAAGTTTTCAAACTATGTTTTATCATTATCAAATGAATGAATTTATAAAGCTAAATGAGAAGCTGCTTTACTGTACGCATCTAAATGCTTGACGTAAGTAATGTTTGTAAATCTGTATAGACCGTGTTTTGATGAAATCTTGCCTCAAGTAGTGTACCATGGCCATCTCAATAGTTGGACAGTCGTATTCAGTTGATAGTCAATTGAAGATTTTGCCTGTGTTTGAAGACTGCGATGTGCTGTTCTATTGACCTAAGGATTGATCTTGAAATTATTATTATGGAATGATGTTGCTTTGATTGAGTTGGAACACGACTGAATTTACTATAGCCTAATTTCTGCTTCATTCAATGCTTTCAACGTACAGATATTTTATTTTCCCTTTAGGTTCGATTGAAATCGATACAATAAGAAACAGTAGGTAGAAGTATACCATGGCTATCTCAATAGTTGGACAGTCGTAGTCAGTTGATAGTCAATTGAAGATTTTGCCTCTATTTGAAGACTGCGATGTGCTGTTCTATTGACCTAAGGATTGATCCTGAAATTCTTATTGTGGAATGATGTTGCTTTGATTGAGTTGGAACATGACTGAATTTACTATAGCCTAATTTCTACTTCATTCAATGCTTTCAACGTACAGATATTTTATTTTCCAGTTAGGCTCGATTGAAATCGATACAGTAAGAAACTGTATGTAGAATTAAAGACGGTAGTATCGAATTGCATTCATTACTTTCAAGGTGAATTATACTAGTAAATTGTTAGATCAAAATTGTCATTGTCGATCGTGTTTATCCTAGTCATCATGAACAAACCCTTTCAGGAGGGAATTTTTCTCCACTGTAGGCCAAGGAATTAAGTCCATCCAGGCTACTGTTGAACGTCTCTTCTAAGCGATAATCATCTCGACTTAACTGGATGATTCTATTATAATAAAATTGCCAATCGGGGACTTGTTGGCCGTCCATGATTGCATTTTTGCCAAGATACAAGAGCTAGTTTGCGCAAGATCAGCTTCACCGGCCATCACGGACCGATTGCGGTTTGAATGTCCCAACGTTGATACATAACCCTATGGAGTGTTCGATACAGGCGGGCGATACCATAGCAAACAGTGTCGTATTGATCCACGCTTCTGTCACCACTCCTGGTCGACGACCGTTGCCTCATCCATCTACAGTGTACAGTGTACAGTATTATGTACTGTCAATACGGAGCTGTGGTGACGGTGGAGTACTGTACAGTCGGACGGGCGGACATTGTGATGGCTTCATTGCTGCTCTCAATTGAGATTGAATGGCAGAGTTGTGGTCCTGGCGTACTTCCTTCGGTAGGTAGAGGCTCGGTTCGGATTGATTTTTTTCAAAATAAATCAAGATCAACTGTAAATTGTATTTATTTTTTACCCAGTGCAGAGCCATGACTACCATGTCATCCATGTTGCAATGTTTTAGAATTACTGTAGTATCAAATTCACTTTGGAACTACACTCCTTCCTTAACACCATCGAAACTGGTGGAAATTCCACGGGATACGCGACATCATTTGAAGTAAATCATGGAGAATCGCCATGAAGTTTATCCTTGGAGGATGATTTGTCTTCGTGTCAGTCTGTCTGTCGCTCATTTTGGTACCGTACGCAAAGGGGAGAAGTTACGGGTGACAGGACAGAAGGACATTGGCAGGACTCTGTCAGTGGGTACAGTATGCCTCCGTCGAAATGAATTGACTGATCATTCTTAAGACTGGACGATCCTTCTTGTAGGTGATCGAATTCTCAAGATTGACCGCAATGTTCCTAAATTAAGGACAAAATTTGTTCTTTGAAATGGTCGTAACATAGATACTGTGGAGAAAGAGACATCCCTGTCTGCTAATAAATCAAAGACTACCGGAAATCTTCCAGCCTCGACACTGAGTACAGTATGGAGTTTTACAGTACGATCCAAATCACTGCCCACTGGACACGTGACCGTACACGTTACTCGTCCGATAGGATGGGCTGAACCAATCAGCCAATCAGATGTCACCGCTATTGTCTACAGTAAACAATCGTTTGAATTTGAATGAGTTCCAACTATCCCATCTACGTCACTAACAGACTCACACCATAAACTTACCAATCCAACCGGGTCGAAGCAAATCCATACTGTACTACAGACTCGCAGACACACACACGACACACCATAGCCAGCCACCGCTCAGGGTCATACTGGTACCAAAAGCTGTAACCTTTTACCCCTCCCCCCCCCCCACTAACCCTCAGGTCCTTGGGTGAATAGAAGCTAGTATGACTTGGTTGTAGCCCACCCCTGGTGGTCAAAATTTGGGGCCACGTTCAGGTACAAGTTGTCCTTGCTCTTGCCTAAACTAGTCGACTAGAGAATCCCTTGATTGCCATTTTACTTTTCTCATCGCTAAATTACTGGATAGAATAGTTCATACTTTCCATCAGCTAGTGGTGAAGATCGTGAGAATTGCTGTTTTCAACTTGTTATCAAGTCATCCATACGATAGATCAAAATGAGCCAACAGAACGGTGGCTATTCCAAGCTAATGTGGAGTCCAAATCCCGACGTCGTCACCAACATGGATCAATTTCGTCATGCGGCCAACGAAAAATTTCATTTACAACTAAGTAAGTAATTGCTATATTATTTTTCCCCTTTAAATCAAGCTATCGTAGGATCCAAAACTACCACATCTATCCATTGTCTCCATTTTATTTGCATTGGCTTACGAAATTAATGCACCATTTGGGCTGTTTCCATTGTCTACTCTCATCATCACTCACGTAGCTTGAAACTCGGGCAAGAATTTCACTTGGACTGCAAATAAAAAATGGCACCAATTTCATTTTTCAATCGCCTATTTTACTCCATGGACAGAGTACATACAATGTCATGGATTAACCCTTTTCACTCATCCTACCATGATCCTATCCATGCCCTATTTGAAACAACATCATATTTATATACTGTATTGGATGTCTCCGATTGACGACCCTACCCACTACTCAAGAGATTGCATCATAGTAACACAGACAGCACAGTACTTGCATAGGATTCATGATTATCATTTCTTATATTACATACTGTAGGATTTTAATTAAAAGTACCAAACTTTTGAATACCGCAAATAAATTAATTCAACACGAATTGAGCCTGTGTTGGCCAACCAAAGGATCAAGTAAAATCACAGTCCTAGTATTCGATCGAAACCCCTGCCAGACGCTTTATGCAAACTACCATGTCTCCTCTTCTCCTTATTATAGTCCAGTCTAAAATATAGATCAATTACAGGACTAGCAGCGACATGATATCATCACCTTGAATAAACTATACAGGAGCACAACATGTTTTGCTTGCTCCAATTATTCCAACATCTCCATTATAAATGTTAACGATAAAATAGCTAATTAGCATTTTGGGCTAGACTACTAGAAAGTTGGATCGAGTCATGGTTGCTCCAGCAATAAACTACTCAGAAGCACAACGTGTTTTTCTTGCTCAAATAATTTCAACATCGCCATTGTTAATATCCACGATAAAATAGCTTATTAGCATGCTAAGCTAGACTACTAGATAGTTGGATCGAGTCATGATTGCTCCAGCATTCGTACACCATCGCATCTGCTGAATACCATCCATTAACTTCAGATCATGGTTACCATACTGTCGATAACGATAGGAGTCGACTGTCTTAAGTTGCGTAATAAAGATTTGCAGCGTTCATGCTTGGAGCTAAATTATGGCATAGACTAATTGTTGGAACTCATCTTATTCCAGGCAGCAGATTGCCAAACAGAACAAAGCCATTGATTGATTGATACTCAAAACATGTTTTACACCACCGTACTATCAATAATTCATAGATACTACCATCAGTATAAAGAATGTTCTACAAATTTTGCATAATCTTAATATAGAGAATTCCCTTGATATTGCGATAGAGGAATGATAATACTGTATACTGCATAATCGAAGAATTACAATCGTATTACGATTCAGTAATTCATTAGGAGCAGCATTAAGAGCTTATTTTTTTTATGTACAGTACTGTGCTGTATAACACAATTTGTGATTGTAAGCACAATCACAAATTGTTGATGGATTTCAATTTTAAAATTACATTTCATTTTTTCCACATTAAAGGCGTCTTGAACGCACTGTCGTATATGGAGCATAGTCAAACATGCTCACTCAACAGTAATCAGTATTGTGATCGATCCGATTCAATATCGTACAGTAAGCTGAAAATTCGACCATTGCAAATCGTATTTCAGATAACTCTACATCGGATACAAACCGTAATGCGATATACTGTGCAAGATATTACTTCTGCATTTCTTTCTAGACATCCACTATCCAAAATGGCATGACACCAGTTAGCCTAAATACTGTATACGTAGTTGATTATTTTTATGTCTTCATTTGTAGAGGCGATAGAAGCGATTCGTTTTTTTTTTTGGAGGGGGGGGGGGGAAGGACAGATAAAGGATTTATCTATCCATCGTCCGACTTTAATCATGGCAGCACAAATCCATGCATGCTAAATACTCCTTAACTACTAATAACAATAAAGACTGTCAAAATGTTCCATCCGATACTGCAATCAATTAACATTGCATGTCCAAAGCAGATCTATAAATGGTAATCTATTAATTTAATTTTCTAAAAAAGTTCAACTCCTATACACGTGCTATAATAACTACGTAGAACTACGGTAGGATTTATTATTTCATATCAATGGATCATTTTGACTAGTTAATGCATAATTCTAATGTATTGCATTAATAATAAGCATATGTTACCGTTTATTCATAGATACAAAGGTATTTATTGACCATGACAGATCCGGTTTTTTTCCAACTGTTCTACTTCTTATTAAACAATAAACTAATAGTAACGTTTATATAGTAGCTGAAGGTGGGTAGTGTTGGATAGGATTTACCTTTGCAGAAATCATATACTACATGCTGTCATTTGCAGCTTTTTCTTTCTTTGTATGTGTAGAAAATAAAAATAAGAATTCAAAATATAAAATTGGCAAGAGATTACCTACAACTACAGTAGAAATTACTCTATCAAGTAGAATCATTTAGACAATGGCTACAATGCATTGATGAAATGCAGACAAATAGAAAGTTTTCAGAAATGAAATATACAGTACAGTATACGAGTCTATGCAATCATGAACCTATATATCTATGTCGGACCGTATTTCACTGTATGTTTTTATCACCGTCAAAATTAATCGATGATAGTATTTCAAACGGACCTGCTAAATTGACTATCGTAGACAAACATTCCAGTAGCTAAGACTATCCGATTAGTGGACGTTTGCTAATTTCGGACCTTTACAAAGGTATCACTACTTCTGTTTACCAAAATTGAATCATGCCACACTGTTTAAACAATTTGAACATTGCCAACTAAAACTTCATACCCCTAGACTAGCACTCAATAGATATCCTGCGTTGAGTTATTTCATCGTCCATTCCTTGATTTCACGAATTTAAAGGACTTTAGCTCTGCCTAACTTATATTTTACAACGTAATACTGATCAAAAACGATTATACTGTAGTTGTTTATTGAGATAGTCCTAAAATTTTATTAGAATCATATTCATGCCTACATAATGAGGCCATAGCTTAAGCAAGATTTCTTTATGAAAATGGCGATTTGACCCATGGATTACCCTCTATTGTTACCATAATCATGCAAAACGAAATAGGATAGAATACCTCAACTTTAAGCTATTGAACTCTAAAATCTTTGCTATTACAACTTTAACTTTACTTGTAATCATCGCTTTATTCATCTAATTATGTTGCTCATCGATGATTTGCATTCTTCTCAAATTACGTAATTGCGAATTAAAAGCTTCATTAACTAATTGGAAGTGATGGAGCTTATGCTAACGGGTGATTCTCTAATGATTTATTAGGCAATTATCAAGAGTTATACGAATGGTCTGTTACAGAATATGCGGATTTTTGGGGATTGTTCTACCACTTTAGCGATATTGTTCATTCTCAACCATATACACAGGTAAGTTCATAAACTAATTATATAATCGGTAAAAATAATACTATAAATAATAGGTGTCCATCAAAGAGGTGAAGCTGCGATTCATATTTACTTGCGGCAGTTTAAAGTCCACTCTAGCGAATGTCTTGTACCATCAACGCTGTAGACAAACCATTTTATATCAGCTAAAACGGATTGATTACAATGCAATAGCAGTATCCTCCACACTTAACCGCTAATAAACATTCATCTTAGGTTGTGGATAAATCTAAACGCGTTGATGAAATACCTGAATGGTTCCATGGAACGCGTTTAAATTTTGCTGAAAACTTGCTAAAATATAGAGATGATAAAGTAGCAATATATTTCACTGGTAAGCTGTTTAATCCTTACATTTTTAATGCTAATGCTTTGCCTTTATATTTCTAGTAAATGGGTTTTTTTTATCATTTTGATACGCTTTCTCAAGTAGTAATGATCTGTAATAAAATAGCTTGCAGTAATTTTTGGTCTAAAATCGTTGTTAACTATTGAAAGCAAGCTCGATCTGAGTCACTTTGGTTTTAAAAATTTAATGCATCATTGAAATGTTATATTGTAGGGGAGGGAAGAGAACTTACCCAAATGACTTATCAAGAGCTATATCACCAAGTTCGCCAATATGCTGCTGCATTGAGGAAATCTGGTGTACAAAATGGTGATCGTGTTGTTGGTAGGTTACAATAGAGGAAGCATTCGAATATTAAACTGCATAATGGTACGTGTATACTTAGCACTACCATAACACTCTTCATAGGATATATACCAAATTGTCCTCAGGCTATTATAGCTATGTTAGCTACAGCAAGTATAGGAGCTATATGGAGTTCAACTGCTCCTGATTTTGGTACTTCGGTTAGTAAATTGATTATCGCGTATTATTATCTATATCAGTACTTTATTAGTCACCATAACTACGAGATAGACATAGAGATAGCGAAATTTCTATAGTTTAACCTTAGTTGCTTTCATCAATGTATAATGCTTTGAAACGTCTACGGTAATACATATAATAGAAATTTAGGCGCTAGTGTAAAAAAGTAGAACGACGCTGAATGTGATATTTTACAGCTAGCTACGAATTTTGTATACAAATGTTTAAAATTTTAATTCAAATACTTTATTATAATTATTTTTAGGGTGTCCTTGATCGATTTAAACAAATTAGTCCAAAGATTATCTTTTCCGTCGATGGAGTAACGTATAATGCAAAGCAACACACAAATTTGGATAAACTAAAAACTGTTGTCAATGGTAACTAACGATAACTATCATTTCTCAGAACGCTTCTTGCACTTTTTCTATTACGCAGTATGCAGTACAGCACTATTTTAACGCTAGCGTTGAAATAAATTGCTATAAAGATATCTAAAAATTGATCTTATTATTCTCATTTATTTTTACTTTTATCACCTTGTTCTTTTAGGTTTAGCAACTCTAGAAAAGGTTATCGTCATACCGTATATTAATGAAATTGATGGTGCAACAACCAAGAGCATTCGTAATTGGTAATGGTACAATTCTTTGTAATTAATCTAGTAAATTTGTATAACTGAACATGATAATAATTATAAATCTATTCCTTTAAGTATTTTACTGGATGATTTCTTAAAAACTGGTTTGGATGACGACGATACACTACCAGAATTAGTCTTTGAACAAGTACCTTTTAATCATCCCTTGTTTATAATGTATTCATCTGGTACCACCGGAATTCCGAAATGCATGGTTCATTCAGTCGGTGTAAGTAGCATGAATGTGTTCTGGATGTAGTGCAGATGTAAACAAGATTAGACCAGTTCCAGTTGAAAAAAGTCTTCTTTCTAAACTTAGGGTACTTTAATACAATTACTTAAAGAGCACATCCTACATGGGGATATGAGAAGAGACGATGTTATGCTATTCTATACTACAGTAAGTGAAATTTTTTCCAAAAGCTCTATTAATCTAAATACGTTATCGTAGTTTCCATACCTATCTATTAGTATCATGTTTATATAACAAACGATTTCTACTTCGGTAATAAATTTTTAACTAACTACGGAATAATGACTTTGGACTAGCGTTTTCCATTCTTAAAAAAGTTGTTTTACTGGATTGTTATTAGACCGGGTGGATGATGTGGAACTGGCTTGTTGCTGTATTAGGAACAGGAGCAGGTATTGTTCTCTACGATGGTTCTCCATTTGTCCCAAGAAAAACAATACTGTGGGATTTGATTGATGAAATTGGGTATATACTTGATGACATAGTAGTCGATTACTATTACTCTGTTCAGATTTGTTTTCGCACTGTACAAGTTGATAAATTTTTTCCTTAGTGTTAGTTTTCTTGGTGCCGGTGCAAAGTGGTATTTGGTTTCTGAAGACAATGATATTTATCCGATGAAAAGTCATAAACTAGAAAAACTTCGTTTTATCGCATCTACTGGATCGAAATTGATGCCAAGAAGTTATGAATATATATATAACCACGTTAAGAAAGATGTCATCCTTGCATCAATCACAGGTTTTTTATTACTTAGATATTTAAACTAAACCAAAATTAAGTTTTTAATTATAATAAAAGTATTTAACCACAGAATATTTGTTTAACAGGCGGAACAGACATTATATCATGTTTTGCTGGGCATAACCCATCAGTTCCAGTGCATCTTGGTGAAATACAAGCTAGAAATCTTGGTATGGCTGTAGAAAGCTATTCTGAAGTCGGTAAGGGTTTAAGTAATCTACTGTTGTATACGGTATGTAAACTTAATCAGTTATGATACTCTTTGACATAACAGTATTAATCATCTGCTATAGGAAAACCAGTATTTGGACAAAATGGCGAACTTGTATGTGTTAAACCATTTCCTTGCCAGCCAATTTACTTTTGGAATGATGAAGATGGCTCCAAATATCAAAAGGCTTACTTTAGCCATTTTGAAGGTAAATTTTTATGATACTGCAGTAAAATTTTTATTTAAGAAAGATTATTTCCGAACCGTTTAGTAATAAAATATATTGATTGTAATGTTATAGGCGTTTGGCATCACGGAGACTATTGTACAATTATTCCTAGCACTGGTGGCATTATCATGCATGGCAGAAGGTATGAATGTGATATAATATCGCAATTTTAATATGATATATTTGTCTCTCGGTTTTTCTTAAAACACGATTACACTATTTACTTTCGTAGTGATGCAACACTTAATCCAAACGGCGTCCGATTTGGCAGCGCTGAAATATATCGTGTTGGTATGTACTTTCATTTTATGCTAAATTGACATTTCGGCTGGTAATTGTAGCGATAATAGCTGGTAATTGATTGATTTTTCTACACATTATTTAAGTATCTAAGATACCAGAAGTAGCTGATAGTTTATGCATTGGTCAGCCTATACCTGATGGAGAAAGGGTAATTTTATTCTTAAAGATTCGGGAAGGAGAAAGGTATGCTGTAGTTTGCTACGTTGACATAATTAGTCAGTTAAAAGGTTTAGGATTGTAAAGTTTCATATAACCGATATTGTTATTCTACATATGCAATTATGGTAAATTCGTCATATTTTTCTTATCTTATAATAAAGATTTACTGGTGATCTTATTAAAGCTGTCAAAGGAAAAATCAGAAGTGAACTGTCTGCTAGGCATCTTCCAGCTATTATTTTACAAACTCCAGATATCCCAGTATGTATAATTGATTATCTGTGGATCACCTATAGGATAGTATTTGGATATTATTTAGAGGTTATCGTTGTATCACCAAAAATTTTAATACTGTTCTGATACAACACATTGTCATCAAAAAGTGCTTAGACGTAGTAACGTTCATATCTATAATTTCAGTACACGCTTAGCGGAAAAAAGGTTGAAGTCGCTGTTAAGAAAATTATATGTGGAGAAGAAGTGTCTTATAGGAACGCTCTACAAAATCCTACATCTTTGGATTTTTATCAGAATTTACCAGAATTAAGTGTTTAAACACTTACATCTGACACAAGTAACGAACTGAAATGTTTTACTTACACATCTTACGGCCTGATTAGCATGTTGAAAAATCTGGCTTATCTCTATTGCAATTCTACGCGTCTAAATGCTGTTAAGAAAATATAGATCTTTAGTTATAGATTTATTTGATACCATTTTTATGCGAAGCAATCGTCTATAAGCTGCAGCGATTAAGGTGTTGGCACTTATTATTGACCCTGGATTTGGCTAGCAGTGATATAATTACTTACATGATATATTTTATTGGTATTAAATACGTACATATAAATTAATTACTATTTAAATTTACAAAAAGTTATAGTACCTGTAGCAGACATATTACAACATTAGCTTAATTTATACTATTGGTAAGCAAAATTGAATAAAGTGAAGTTTTTCCATACGTACGTAGTACCTAATCAAAGATGAAAAATTTTATCAGTGATATATTCTGATTGAAGAGATTACAATTTTGCTATTGTATAGTGTATACCCTGCTGGATATTCAACAATTCAATCTAACAAGCTATGGAATGCAGTTAGATAGGTTCGAATATTAATACTGAGTGTTAAAATCACGGTATTCAAGCCCAGTACTTATATCAGGTCATTGACCTTACTTCATAGCTGCCATGAGGAGCTATTAATAGTGCACGCTTGACTTGAGAATATCTTAACTCTCAAGATCTCAACATGCAGATTGATTATATCTTTACAGCCCAAAAGGTCATTAGAATTGTTACTGGATCCAAATTGATGTTGATTTCAGGGATGTTTAGTCATTAGATTAAACTCAGTTGCAAACTCATTACTCCTCCTGTTTAATTGACATATTTTGTATATTTATTGAATTTTGGGGGCAAAGATGAGAACTTCCTTTGCCCATGCCCTAATAAAGTGATATTTCATGCTATCCTCGAGATAAATTGAGAAGTATCACTCCGTGTTTTAGGCTCTACATTACACATGGGCTACTAGAGAATTTGGTAATCCGTGACTGTCATCAGTAACACTGACCAAACTCATCAGAATGCACGATGATGAAAAATATAATGATAACTAGACAATTTCATGTCATTCAGAATTCATATTTAGTCCCAAATTCGTATTGCGCGTGAACTTTCTACACACCAAAGTGGCGAATTCACTCCAGTACAGTAAATCGTATACTCTACTGTAGTACTGTTTTCGATACATAGTACAGTCGCAGTCGAAATCCGCGACTGTCATCTGTACAGGCAACACTGACCAAAATCATCAGAATGCACGATGATTTATTTAAAGAATAAATAGCGATAAAGATCATTCGGAATTCATATTTAGTCCCAAATTCGTATTCCGTGTGAACTTTCTACACGCTATACTGTAGTACTATTTTCGATGCATAGTGTAGTCGTAGTCGAAATCCACGACTGTCATCGGTATAGGCAACACTGACCAAAATCATCAGAATTCACGATGATTTAAAGAATAAATAACGATAAAGATCATTCGGAATTCATATTCCTAGTGAACTTTCTACACACCATACTGTAGTACTATTTTCGACGCATAGTACAGCCGTAGTCGAAATTCACGACTGTCATCTGTACAGGCAACGCTTCCCAAAATCATCAGAATACACGATAACTTAAAGAATAAATAACGATAAAGATCATTCGGAATTCGTATTTAGTCGCCAATTCAAATTCCGTGTGAACTTTCTACACACCATACTGTAGTACTATTTTCGACGCATAGTACAGCCGTAGTCGAAATTCCCGATTGTCATCTGTACAGGCAACACTGACCAAAATGATCAGAATGCACGATGATTTAAAGAATAAATAACGATAAAGACCATACTATAGTACTATTTTCGATGCATAGTACAGTCGCAGTCGAAATCCACGACTGTCATCTGTACAGGCAACACTGGCCAAAATCATCAAAATACACGATGATTGATTTAAAGAATAAATAACGATAAAGATCATTCCCAATTCATATTTACTCTCCCCAAATTTGTATTTTGAGTGAACTTTCTATTTGATGCAACAGCGAATTCACGGCAGTATAGTAGCTAGAAGTAATCCTGTTTCCGATTTACTGTGTAGTGTATACTACAGACTACAGTCACAGCAGCAAACCGTATTCCGTCTGTCCGAGCATCCTTGCAAGAGGCAGCCAAGGCAGGTTCTGGCCTTTACGAATTAGTGTAGTCTCTTTGCTATGGAAGATCATGGTCGAGAATCTTGCTGAGTTATGATGCAGTAGATTGGCTTTTATGTTGTTTTGCCGCCATTTACTCACAGTCCCTTACCTATGTATATTATTATCTGATTGATTCGATATTAGAACAGAGCTACAACAACCGTTTATATACTATAATTAATAACGATAACGATGTTGCGAAATTTAGTCGGATACATATCCAAGAGAGCTGAAGCTCGCGTCATTGTGCCTCAAGACGAGAAAATCATATGGAAATTTAATTCCGATAAAGTAGTTAAAGAATTTTATTGTTTCACGGATGCCGACCTTGGTGGTAATTCAGATGGAAAATTTACATTAAATAGCCAAAACAAGGCCTTATTTTCTGGTACATTATCTACAAAGATAAAGCCTGGAATGCAATTAAAATATACTGGATTCTGTTCATTGCGATCGATTGTACCACGAGTAAGATTCATCCATTCTTTACTTGATTGCCAATAATGTTGATTATAAATTATTTGATAACTAATCAAGTGTAGTAGACTAGTATTGCATGATAGCTTGTCCAAAACTTGAAGTTAAAAGTAGATGTAAATTAAATTGAATAGAATTTTTTCACGCATCGTTTGTGCACTGTGCAATGCGTTTATGACCAGACGCGTCCTAGTCTCTCTTCTAGTACTAAATTAGAGTAGTAATCCCCAAGATACTGTAGTAGGATTTCAGCAATTAGCTACATTCAGTGGATGTAATGCGGAATAAATTCATGCATGATCTTACAAGTGATGCGCCATGTCGTTGTCCGTTTCATTGCATCGATTTCTTGTCCTATGTATTACAACGATTTTGTGGACTACATCGCGACTGTAATGGCAATTTTTTTGAATGATTTTAAATTAGCGTTTCCCTCGTGGAGAAATACTGCAAGACTGGAGCAATTTCGATGCTATTGAATTTCGTGTACGTGGTGACGGCAGAGCTTACCTCGTCAATCTACATCATCAAACTTTCCGTCCCGACGATTTATTTCAAGCTTTCATGTTCACACGCGGTGGACCCGACTGGGAAAGCGTTCGCGTAAGATAATCACATAACTACTCTATGGAATGGTGTATTCGTAGAATACCGTTGTAGCTATAGAGGATCACCTACTATTGCGATAACTTAGTAACTTTTACTGAGTTAGAGGAGATAGATAATAACATAGCATCTGCAATATAATATTTACTAGACTTTGGAGAGAATCTAATGTTCACTATCCTGAGCATGGATGGATAGTTATGCTTATCGTCGCTTTTTACAGGACATGAATTACAATTTTAATTATTTTTGTAGATCCCATTTTCCAACTTCTTCTTGGCCAATAGTGGTTATATGCAGGATAAGGATGCAGATATCTCATATGCTATAGCTAGAATCCGCACTATTGGCTTACTGTTGGCAGATCGAGTTGATGGCCCTTTCCAACTGGAAATCGACAACATTAAAGTGGTTCGTAGCGCTATGCATATAACTCGTGGATATCATCAAAATTTAACGTATAAAGTGAATATGGATCACTATCGTAAAACAGAAAAATACATGAAAAAAAATTACGGACCAGTGAGCGGTTAAACTAAGTGTCCTATTATTAAGGAGCTGTCTTCCTCTAGTTGTGATATTGCACTGAAGGTTGATGATCTCTAACGCGTGGACATGTATTGCGCTAGAACACTGTTTTAGAACGGCTGCATTTGTCCATTCTCTCTGACAAAATAGGTAATAAATTAAATTATAAATCTATTATTAATATACTAAGCGTACCATGATTAATTACTAGAACTACTTTCTTGGACTACTTATCAATTCATAGCCTGTCTTGTATACAATTTTTTTTATCATAGGAGCTACAATATTTGCATCATTAAATACTGTATGCACTGTACTGCACTTTGACAGAATAGCCTAGCAAAAATTATGTCATAATACACATATCATGATGAATGACAGCAACTCCTTTTTTGCACAACTGATCAATTTATGACTTGTCATGTGTACAAATTTTTATCGTTTGCGCTATTTACATGGCTTAATATTATTATTGTTTTGTTTTTATGGCGTAATGTCTCATCATTTATACCAGGCATGAAATATAGCGCATTGATTGCAACGATTACTGTTACAGGCTAACGTTATTGCCGTGCTGATTTTGATTAATATTCTTCAAATACAGTAGAATAGTAATAATAAATACGTAATCTGTGGTCGCCATGCTATCGAAGATCATGGATTTGCGTATTATTTCAAAAGAATTGGAATTTTAAGAATGAAATATTATCCTTATTACTTGTACGTATTGTATCGTTGATTACTCAGTCGTTCAGCGAATAAGAATAGTTCATGCAAACTCTATACTGTTAAGAATGCTGTAGTCAAGTCCATAAAGCCAATGGCTACGTCCATGCAAAATAAATTTCTGTATCGCCAAGTGTACCATAAAGAGGCGAACTTAACTCTGTCTCATCCATAGAGCTAAGAAAAAACCTCGATGATCCCATTAGAGAAATGAAATTCGAAATTTCAGCGTGCACTACAAGATGAATATATCCCCATATGAACTCCTTAGCCTACACTACAGGTCTACAGACTGTACACTCGCAACATCATTTTCTGTCGATGTAATTATATGTAATGGTCTGCCTGTAGTACAGTGATGCTAAGAATATGGGGCAGCTTCTATCATTATCATGATGTTTTGCAGTAGTTTGCACATCCCAGTTAGCAAAGTACGCTCTATCTTACTGAGATTAAATATTGCTTAAATATCCGCCTAGTACAATTTCAATTTTACTGTACTATCCTGGAGATTTTACCGAGCGAGACATGGTGCTGTCTATATCTATATATTATATAGAGGCCAAAGAAAAAGACCTCTGCCTTTTCTTGATCTCTATCATACCCATCAGTGCCGTCCACAGGTTGACAAAAAAGAAAGAAATCCCAAGTGTTGTCAGTAGGGTTCCGAGCATAATAACTATTTCAACAGCATGCTTGTTCATTAACCGTCAACAGGTGTCATGATGAGGCACTACAGGATAAAGAAAAATCCCTTTTGCTGTTATCATAGCTCGTATATACCGGTGTTGACACTTCCAACGCAATATTAAGTTTGCGAATTGATTAATGCCTTCCTTGTCAATCGTCTATACCAGTGTTGACACTTCCAAGGGCAATATTAAGTTTGCAAATTGATTAATGCCTTCCTTGTCAATCGTCTATACCAGTGTTGACACTTCCAAGGGCAATATTAAGTTTGCGAATTGATTAATGCCTTCCTTGTCAATCGTCTATACCAGTGTTGACACTTCCAAAGTAATATCAAGTTTGCGAATTGATTAATCCCTTCCTTGTCAATCGTCTATACCAGTGTTGACACTTCCAAAGTAATATCAAGTTTGCGAATTGATTAATGCCTTCCTTGTCAATCGTCTATACCAGTGTTGACACTTCCAAAGTAATATCAAGTTTGCGAATTGATTAATGCCTTCCTTGTCAATCGTCTATACCAGTGTTGACACTTCCAAAGTAATATCAAGTTTGCGAATTGACTAATGCCTTCCTTGTCAATCGTCTATACCAGTGTGGACACTTCCAAAGTAATATCAAGTTTGCGAATTGGCTAATGCCTTCCTTGTCAATCGTCTATACCAGTGTGGACACTTCCAAAGTAATATCAAGTTTGCGAATTGATTAATCCCTTCCCTCTCAATCTATCCTGTAGGAAGGCAATCGAACAATGACAGAATATACGTATAGCCTAGTAAATAGTGCTGAAATACACTATGTTTTACCCTTTAAGCCCCTTCAAATAAATTGAATTTCAAGCGATTTCATCTCAATTTTAACATTCTAACTGCAATCTAAAATACAGTGCCATCTTTGATAGCCAATTGATGGATTCTAACGTTTAGAGTAGAGAAGCATGGACGCCATGGACGACAGTACTAGATGGTCTTCTGGTTGTAGTCTACAGTACAGTAGGCACTAAGTGATAGGACTACTACTAACGTAATAGACCGCACTATACACTATATAGCTATTTCAGCGATGTCAGTGTACAGTGTACAGTACGAGATCTTGGTCTTGTTACTACAGTGTACAGTATTTTACTGTACAGTACAGTACTGTACTATACTGTACTGTAGGATCAAGATACTGTACGAACTATCATACCGAACCGCACCGTACCGTACCGTACCGTGCTCGGCGTAGCAACCGTAAAGTACTGTACTTACTGTACATTGTACGCTGTTATTAAGCAGGCTATCACTAGACTGCATGCTGATTGGCTAATTTCACACGTTGGAATAATTCAAATCGATCGAGGACCTCCTTCCATACTAAACCATAATATGTTGATCAATCCTTCCAAACTAAACCATAACATGTTGATCAAGGTTTTTTTGGTGGATAGAAATTTTTCTTGCTTCTACTTTGCACTGTATTATTAGTATCATTGCTGTTTATCATTGAATCTCATTGGATAGAGAGCTGCGAACAGACAGGATTGACTATTTCATATTCAAGTATTTCCCTATTCTCTCGTTCATTCTTGTAGAGACGTCGTAGAACCTCCTGATTGAAACTGATTGGAAACAAATCAAACGGTAAGATGTGATATTCAGAGTAATATTGAAATTCAAAAGTGAGTCCATGATTTATATGCCAATAAAACAGTAAGTAACGAGCAATATTATTATCCATCGTATGTGTCACTAGCCATCATCTACTGTACACCGTCTTGACAACTTTTGATATTGCTACAGATTTCAACATTTTTTCCTGTTCCCATTGAATATTCAGTAGCATGTTGATATTTAGTCGAAGACTGTAATACGATGCCTTTACAATCTGGATCTACAATAGAGCCGTAAATTATTGAATAATGTAGGAGTCGAATATCCATGTTAATCCATTGATAATGACACTATATCTTTTACAAGAGGAATAAACCTAGTAATGGCCTGCTTTCATTTAAAATACTGCACGGTACAACTACGCTTGATCAAATCAAACCACTTCGCGGATATTTGACCTGCCTTCTGAGTAGAATGCTTTACCTACTATAACTATACTGTAATATGCGCGCAAACGATTAGTGGCTGATCAAGAGGATCAGTAGAATACGCCGATAAAATTATGATGAGCTCTATCGTCATGATAAACTTTGACTTTTATGGCTAATTGCTATCGTACTAGGCCTAAAATGGCACACTACTGGCAAAATTGTTACGTATTGCTTATATAGTGCTGACTAACAACTCAAGAAATACCCTGAGAGTAGACAAAAACATGTGTTACTGTACAGTAGAGCACTCGTATATCGATTATGTGAACAAAATGCGTATGTGAATCGGATCTGCCTCCATTATAAAGGTATAAAATCGGGAATCTCCGCTTACAGTTTGCGGTGAAGTATTGAAATAGGCTGTCTGCTATAGAGTATTCAGTATATACGATAAGATACAGCATCATGTCCTTTCTGTAATACTATCCTGTCACCTTACACAACTACTATATTCAATTTTGAAATTAGAGTCGAAATGACTCATTTACAGTGTATCACCTTAACTTGTACCTATTCTATGGACGCGTATAGAATAATTAATTATTGATCAATTTTTAGATTCAACCATGGCTACCGAGAAAGCATTGCATGATGAAATTGATAGGCTTACCAAACTTCTTGCTAACAATGAAGAACAACTAGCTTTGGCAGCTCAAATTGGCCAACAGTTACTAACCGATAATGAAGAAACAGAAACTCGCTTCGAAAAATTAAGAATTGAATCAAATCAACGTATCGAAGAATTAGAACAAGAAAATCATATTTTAAACTTACGAAATCAAACTATTAAATGCAAATATGAAGATCTTGCTAATGATATGGATATTCTAAAAGGTCGACATGATGAAGATGTTGCTAAAAAATGCCAGGAATTAAATGAAGAGTTTAAAAAGCAAATGTCAAAAATAACAAGACAATCTGAAACAGCAGCTGAGGAAGCTGATCGTTATCGCACATTAGTAAGTCAACTAAATGAAAAAGTTGAGGTGTTACAAAAAATGGTCACCGAAGAACGAAATCACAATCAAGAAGAACTTACCACCAATGACGACAATAGCGAGTTACTGGAAGAATTACAACTCAATTTAGCCAAAGCAGTTGAAATCAATAAAGATATGGAGTTGGAAAATGTCGATTTACGTCATGACAAAGATTGCTTAAATCTAAAATTAGAATCAGCTGGTAAAGAAGTTAAATCATTACAAGAATATCAGGAAATAATAGAAACAGAAGTAGATACTTGGAGAACTAAATATAACGACATTCGGATTGAGTTAGCATCAGCAAGAGAACAACTGATGGACTACCAAAGTAATTCTAATTATCAAAGTAACCCCAGCAAATCGTTATTTTCTGAAGTTGAAGATCAAAGAATTCAATTAGAAGGAAGTTACAAATGTTTAAAAGTAAGATTTGATACTTTAGAAAAGCAATATAACGACTGCAGACAGCAAATGCAACAGCTGAAAAGTCGATATTCAAGCTTACTTGCTATGGGTAGCTTTAAAGCGGATGAAGCCAAAATGAAGAATTTAGAGCAAAATCTTTCACAAAGCGAGGCTGATCGTCGAACGTTATCCATCAAAGTACAAGAATTAGAAGAGCAACTTCAAGCTGTCACCAATAGTAATATTGAGCATGCAAAATGTTTAGAATCGGTCAATTTAAGTGAAAAAGACTATATTGATTTCCTTCGTCGCGATCTCAAAGAATATAAAAGTAAATTTTGTAAATTATCCAAAGAAATTGAATCCTTACGGTTAATGAATGCTAGTGAATCGCAAAAATTACGACAAACTGAATATTCGTTATCAGAAGCGCAAAAAATTGCTGACAAACTTAAAGTTGATAATTTAAGAATCCGTTCCAAGTTGGAAGAAGAAATAATCAAGAGAAAAAAATTACAGTATGAATTAGATGTCAAGCGAGAGCAAAATTCCAAGAAAATAGGAAATAATGACGGCAAAAGTTCCCAACAAAAAGAAAATCATCACAATAATATCAACAGTGACATTGAACAAGCAAATCTAATGAAAGCTACTGGAAAAAACTATCGGAAGGACCTTCTTGAGACTAAACAACCAGTTACAAAACATGTAAAATTTGCTGAAACTACTACTATCCATTATCAGCCTTTACAGGAAGTAAATGATGAATCGATCAATACTTCTAATGTTGATGACAGCGATCCAGGAAATTTACAACGAGATATACGAAATAAGCCGAAGCGTAATATAATCCACGTTCCAGCAATCGACGATAACCCAAACAACTGTAAACAGCAATAATTATTGTGATTCAATCAATTATAGTTACAGCATCTAATTTGCGAGCATGGGAGTAAAACTAAAGCCTTGAGCTTTTTCCAACATACGGTATAATTTGTATATAAAGTATGTTTTATATACCCTACTGGATTACCTTGATATTGAATTTTTAGATAGGCCATGATATGCTCGAATAATTTGATAAAATTGGAGACAATAATTGTATTCTTATCGTTCTATCATATTTCACTAAGTCTCATAATAATTTATGATCGTTACGCTAGAAAGTGTATTGCAAACAACGAATGCAAATTAAATTGATTCTATGCTACTTAATTACTTAGCTTTTCAATTATAAGATTAAATATTGCATCAAGGCTAAAGCTTAAAAAGAAATTTAAAATCTGTGAAAGCAAAAATATTTGTCTCGAAAGTTCAGTCGCATATATAATGTTGTACGGGTAGAGTATACCATATCGCTTTATTGTATTTTTATACTGTACACATACGCGTATGTTATAACTAGATTCTAAGTTACTTTTAGAAAACTAGTTGCAATTTATATGGTTGATATCCGTAAAATATAAAAGTGCAAGTTAATCTACATATTCGATTAAACTATACAGGGTCTTTATTGTTAATGTGATAATACAAGGAACCAATTTTTTGAAGCAATCCACATACAATACTACTGCATATGAATGCGTAATACCAACGGCAATGCATCAAGATAAAAACAACTTAATGCATGACAACTGCCCTAGAAACTGCTTAGCTATCACTTAGCAAACAAATAACATACAAGTATTGGCGTAGGCTTCCATTTGTTTAAAAATTCATTATGTTATCAATTATCTTGCAATATAACCGCTTCTATAATTATCAAACTGAACGAAATATGCAGTTCTCAACAACCAAAACTAAACACGTGAAATCTTTCGCTTATGGTAATACAAATACCAAACAATACCATCAGTTTTGGTACCTACATTTATACAGATATAAAGCCAATGCAAAAACTGATTAATTTCATTTTCATTGTTATTAGATAAAATAATTGCAAAAGGCAAAAAGCGTATGCTTAAAACTGACATAGAAAGTATGATTTTATGATTCTTCGTACATAAAGCAAGGAGAAACTTTATCATGTTAAGAACTCTCACATTTTCATGTGACAGAGATTTGAATACCGGATGTATCAAAATTTTAGCATAAATAAACAAAATTTGCGCATTTGGACTGCACTATTAACAGTTTATAGGTTTATCTTGAATATCATATGTGATATCGGTATATAACCTAAATATTTTAAATTGTTTTATATTAAACATAGTTAACTAATGCAGGATAGCATGAATTACTAGTAAACCAGAACGAAAAGATTATTATCTTCGTCCAGTAAAAGGATCTACAGGCTCCAATATTCTACCAGTTACGGGATCGATACGATTAGGAACGGTAGAATTTGCGTTCTATAAGATAGAATAATTAAATTAGGACATCTTGAGAATGGTGGTAGACGTTACAATTTAAAATAGAAGCTATTATGCTTACATTAACTGCATGACTCTGATCCATTTGATTATTTAGCTGGTTTGATGCTGAATGATCGGTTGCTGCACTACGAGTTGGCGATGAATTATTATTATTCATATAGTCTGGAGTTTCTGGTGACTCCGTAGCTCCTTTTTAAGGAATAAATTGCGTTAGTTCAGCTAAGCATGTTAACAAACACCCATATACGGTATATGATTGAAAATCTCTGGTACTTTAATTCACTAAGAATTTACCGTAGTCCATATCCGATTGATCAGGAATTATATCAAAGTCGTCACAGTCCAGGCTGGAACAATCATTAAGGACAATAAAGCTGTATACTCTCATAGTGCTATGAATATCATGTTGACAAGCATGTAACCTACTCAATTATTCAATCCATTACTGAAATAATAGTATCTGAAATGAATCAGCATATATATACAGTATATATCAAAATAGAATGATAGTACGTTGCAAAACTATTTGTCAATCTACTGTAGTTATAAGTTTTAATTTGAGCAGGATACAGTAACTGTCTAGACGAATTGGGTTTCTTTTTTCTATTAAATTTATTGGCCAACTGGTAAAACTTTTCTCTCGTACCTAAGATGAAACGAAAGCATTGCGCTCAATTTAATACGCCGGTCAATTTATCACCACTTTCATTTTTGTAGATTGCTTTACTGATTCTATGCATTATTACTAGAGCCGGACTTGTTCTTATTTTAGAATAATCTTTTAATACGATTATATTAATTATGCTATCCGCTAACTTGATCCCATAGTCTTGAGTTTTTCCCTAAATTCCGCGGTAGATAGTTTTTTCTTATTATAAGATTCATCTTCATCACGACCACCAACGGCTCCTGCATCTTCGGTATTTCTAGCAATTACTTCTGTTGGAGGTATAGTATGTTGTTGTGGTAGTTGTTGGTATTGTTGCTGTGGTCGATCGCCTTGGCGCCGCGAACGTCGATTATGATGATTATGCTCTAAAATGTATATCAGAAGTTACGAATGAATGGACGATATAGCCGTATATAGCTGGCATAATTTTATTTTCGAAAACAAATTTGCCTTTAATTACTTTATCATTCATTGATATACTGTACTGTAGTAGTTGTATATAATCGGGTCAATTTATATTATTCATACACTATCAGCAGCCTGCATTTATTTCAGTTTTTAGGGCATCGAAATAACTAAGAAATGTAAGTATCAAACGGAACGTCAATTAAATTGATATTATCAACCATGAACTCAATCATTCAGTTGCTTATAATTATACAGTATAACTGATTGTGATGATTGCTTGATGCGATTACTTTTATCGGATGTTAAAAGATATTCGTTACTTACTACGGTTTCATAACCTTATTGCCCTAATTGAATTAAACTAATTGATAAGATGACTCAAAAACTTTTAGTGTAGAGCTTCCATATCCATTACAGAACGAGAAAGTAACAACAGCAGAATAATATCAACCAATTTTTCTTTCACAGAGCCATAACATACAGTGGAGTACAGGTTTAACTACAGAAAGTGCATTTCCATCAAAAGAGATGCTTTCTATTATTTCCAGTTTCATGCACGCCTAAGCATATGACGTATAATAAAGTACTTTGAGATTAATTGACGTTCTAATTTATTTCTTGCATTACTCTTTCTCACTTTTAAATTAATTACCAGACATATCGGCGAAAATTGAGTATTAACACTATAAAATTTGCCTAGTACTGACATGTAATCTAGTCGTCCATGTGACGTTATTCAAATCGATATGGCTACGTTATCATTGATTACATTATACTGTAGTAAACAATCGATATTTTAAAAATGTTGAAAACGACATTATATTGCAGCTCATTGATGAACTACAATTGATAGGCAATATTTTACAAAGTATGTCCATACCGGTTTCTAAGCTTCGAACAAAGTCTTCGTTACTTTGTAGATGACGCATAAATTCTTCATTCTGTAGCCATTTGGCTAATCGTTCATCTTCCATCATTTGTAACGCAACAGGATCATACGTTGGTGTCTGACGGTGACTACTACGTGTGGGCTTAATACGTAAGAAATCATCGGGTAATCGACCAACTAATGGAGGATGATATTTTGAAGTATAAGTCGTAGGCCTACCGGCATTATTATTGTTATGAAGGTTCAGATTATTGTCGTAGATGTTGTTATCACGATTATTATTGTTATTGCCAAAGGACTGATCGATGGATAAGAGCATGTCAGGATGATTATTTTCTGTCGATCCGAGCGGCAAATTAGTGCTATTGGATGAAGTGTCTGTATTGGCCGATAAACTTACAATTTGAGGTTGATCGCCACCCGTAAGTATTTCATCCGTAGGCGATGAATCAGTCATGACCAATAATTTATCGATAGTTCGTTGTATATGGCCATTACACGAGCGTAATACAGCTTCAATAATCGAGCGATCCATGGTTGGAAACATGGTAGAAAAATTTTCCATCGCTTCTTGAAAGCCTAATCGAGGCCGATTACGCGATCGTGATTGTTCACTACCAGGTGGGTAGCTAGACAACGTTGATGTTGGAATATGCGATGTAGACATGATGCTTCAAAATGATCCCAAAAATGGACTCTGTTCTAAATCGTATAATAACAAATAATAATTAATGAATAGTATATGGTTGAATGGCGATAACGATCTCCGATTTTTTTTTGGAGGAGGGGGGAGATTATTCTTAGGCTTTGCAATAATATTATTTGTCGATAAAGAGAATGATAGATAGTAATTCTCTCTCTCTTTCCTCCTTTCTTCCTTTCTAAAGCGTCCAAGTACTACCAAGGGCCACTTTGATTTCTTATTTTAACAAGTCCACGTACAATGTAAAGTAATCGAATGACTAACTAGATTTAGAGTTCTCGAGATTAGTTTTGTCTCGATGATGGGACCGGATAGCCTTTAGGGGTATGTCTTGATCCATAGTCACGCATCACTCCTTTGCTATCATCGGTACCACTTGGCTGTGATAGATACTGAAATGGATTGTGAATCGTACCGTACCGTACCGTGCCATACCGTAACGTGCCATACCGTACCGTATCATGCGCAAGGCGGTCCAGTCTGCCAGTCAGAGAATAGTCTTCTTCTTCTTCTTCTTATGCGCGAATGCATGAGGGCATGATTCATACTCTATCCTTAGCACTGCTAGGCTACAGCTGTTGATGGCATCAAAACAAATAGCCAGTCTACAACCTCCTTTTTTGATCATAGGATTATATCTTGTAGAAGGTCGCAAACATGGCGCTTTATTTGTAGAGTACAGTATGCTAGAAGGCTAACACAGCAATTCTTTGGGCGTAGTTTTCCAATGACGTAATCGTTGTTCCCAGGGACCAGCTTGGAGACTGATCAATGGATGTCAGCACTACCGATCCCTGTTCACTAGAAAATCAACATATAATACTATATAGAGACTAGATTAAGTCATCCCAAATGTTTCTTTCCTTTAAAATCTCCCTATACTGCCCTACAGTTCAGTTGACCTTCAACAATTCGGCCAACTTAAAATGAAAAGGTGGTCAAATTGGCCGAAGCTGAGGATAGATTATATTATAGAAAGCTGTACACTAGTATGGAAATATATATATATATACTCCACTAGAGATTTTAAAGTCTTTTCTATCGAAAACTATAGAGTATGGTTTACTGTCATGCAGTAGCCCTCTTGACCTTTTGCAACTTTGGAAAACATACAGTAGACACGGTAAGAATAAAATCATATTTGCGGCATAAAGAAGTATGCTCAGCATGGAATGATATTAGGGTAGCCCAACGATCAAGCGACCGACCTATCGAGTATCAACTCAGTGTACTGTACAGTGGACAAGAGCACTTTCAGAATTTTTCTCTTGGAAGTCTATGACTGTTTCAGATGTTGACTGGATGTTTCAGATATATTGGAGGCGTTTCAGCACATAATCCGAAACATCAAGTATAAACCTGCAGGATCTAACACGCAATCACGGATTACTAGAAATTATCTTAGGATCAGGTCTCTTCCTAGTGATGCTGTACAGTGTATTACTACTCATGCAGTGATAACTACTACTGTATGAACCATTATGCCAGAAGAAAACTAGCTTTTCTCTCCTGTACAATGTACATATTATAAGACAGAAGTATCATTACAACGATGCGCCGAGTCCATTGTACATACTGTACTAGTAGAGCCCACATTTGCTCTGTCCTACTATGAGTAGTATGCACTTTTTACTTTATGTTATCGTGACAGAAGTACATATATGTATATATATATATAAATAAATATCAACAGCACCGAGATTATACAACATGTGCTTATTACATCATATTATCGTGGTAAATATCAATGTAAACAGCACCCAGATTATTCAGTATAACCTTTTTACTTTATATTATCGCGGCAAATATATATATACAGACTGTATAGATATAAATATAAACGGCACCGAGATTGTACTTTATATTATCGTAGCAAATCTCTCTCTCTCTATATATATATAAACAGCACCGAGATTATACAGTATATCCTTTTACTTTATATTATTGTAGCAAATATATATCTCGTATATGTTAAATGAGCACATTATCGTAAACCGTCAGTAAAGCGACGGGAGTTTGCACTAGTATATGTATGAAAAGTGTCGAGATTATACAGTATGTACTTTTTTACGTTATATTATCCTGACAAAAATACATACAAGTATGTTTAAATATAAACACCACCGAGAGTGGGTTGATTACCTCGCTTGACTAACTTTGTACCATTAGTTCCAAGTACTTCATATATTATATGATTTTTCAAGTCAAATCACTGAAGGATATTTCTTGAGTAATTTTCAACATCGAGTATTTATATGCAGTATATTCAGAGTTGAATAGAGTGCACCCGGGTATTCTACGAAAACTTTGATGCCCATACAATCCAATACAAACGAGTATATTAATATCATGATCAAGTACATCTTGTCCAAATAGTTTTTTCAAACTCAACTTTCCTATTTTCAAAAATAAGTACATCACGTCCAAATATTCCTCCCAATCAACTTTCAGCATTGTACCCATTTCAGAATTGACTAGGATACCATTATTCAGCTAAATTTTTTATATAGTCTAAATATCCAGCTTATCGAATTAGGATTACAGTATATACATAAATCGTTCAGGACATCTGCAATGGCGTATTTTTAAAATTAGCTGCTGAATATTAAAGCAATACCAGTGTTTTATAATTTCAATCTCGGCATCAAAATTTCAGTTATGTATTTTAAACAATTCCAATCGGTTATGTTCAGCTAAAATTGTATATAATTCAATCGTCAAGTTTGTCAAATTGGAATTTTTTATAAACTGACTATTTCCATTATTTCAACCTGTGCTGAAGTAGTACCAATATGTGCTAGCGTACCATTTACTATATATTATAAAATTTCAGTTTTTTGATAACCTGATAGTAAGCTACAGTATCATGCAGATATTTCTTCTCTTTTTCTGTAAAAGCAATATTGTTTATTATTTCATGTTTACATGCGATTCTCAAATTAATCTACCAATACTGACTTTCAAAAATTTTTATTTTAATTTGCATCCAGTATTTATTCTTTCGTAAAAAACATTTTAAACTCTACCCAGTATTTTAAGTATTTCCAATTAGCAATAGCTAACTAGTCTCCACAGATCGTGCAACGATCACTTTACTACTTATAGAACTACCGGTAGCTACTCATCGCTGTAATTTTAATTTTATCAAGAATAACAACTCTATCATTTTGTGCTATGGAACAATACATGCATGATAGATTCTTTCTAAGCTACAAACTCGTTACTTCCGTTTAGCAGCGTTATTTTACAATTATGGAACTTGATGCCAATCTCTGCAATTTTATTAACTATAACTCCCATTTTCTGCAATATACATAATTGTGAACGCTCATCTTGATAGAGTCCTTGCAGATACTAGTCGCAAGTTCTTAAAGTCTATTTAAATTATGACTAACATTAGTTAGTTTAAATAAGAGCGATTAGTCTATTCCGTATATTTAATAATTCGGTATTAGCTACTGGAAATAAATAACAACTAATAAGCAATAGGAAGATTGTCGATTTCTGTCTGGTATTCTATAAATATGGAGCATTCCCGATGTTCAATAATAACATAAACAAGGATCTAACAAATTCTGTTAAAAGACTAAGATTAATCCTATTTATTTCAAATATTACCGTAAGTAATCAAATTGCATTATTACAACTGTGGATTGTTTCTGCTATTTTAACCACTTTATGAAGTATCCTTATCCTTTGTTTTTCCAATGTAACTAGGAATCGAGCAATTTACGTTAAGAATTAATACTAATTATACTTATTTCAAACATTAAGAACGGTAAATTAACAAGTACTGCATTAGTAACACTATGGTATATCTGCTACTTTAGCTAGTTTTTACGGAGGGTCAAACCTTATTCTTAATCTTATAATTGAAGCGAAAGAATGAAACTTAATCTGATTATTCTACATATTAGGTAATCCAATAAAGAATGTGCTATTTCGCTTTCGTCAATCAAAATCGATGTGATGTCTTATAAACCTACACTATATGCTCTCATATTATCCCATCTACTATAGTTTCGATTACTACATACATATACCGTATGTAGCTCAATATCGCAACTAGCTGCTTCGGATATCGCTCAGAGTACATTTTAGATCGCTATAAATTAGATACTTGACTGCGATAGATTAATTTTATTTGATAATGTAGCGCACACAGTAAAACTATAGATTTCGCTTAGTATTCTTGCCGTATTCTTTACTATATTAATCTGCAATACCACGGATTTTTCGACTATCCCAGCGAAATTTCATATTGTATGCTTACTGTTTTCCTTTTTATAATTGATACAAGAACTTATCCTATTTTGTCCAAATAACAGCGCTAATTACACTTTGTACGCATATTAAGCCATTACTTAAGATTAAAATGCATCATTTTTAGGACAATCCTTGGTAAAATCGACATCAATCTATTCTCACGGAAGGGTAGAAAATAATAGTTAACCTCAAGTGCCTTTTCCTTTCCACATTCTCCTATAGTAAAGTCTAAAGTATCCAACACGTCTATTGTAGTTATGCAACTGAATACAGTATTTCAACTAAATTAAAAGTACTAGCCAAAAAAAATAAGAAAACAAGCAATCAAAATAGACTAATAATTAACTACTTTTTTACCCACTATCCTAGCAAGATTTTGTAAAGTATACTTCATATATTCTTATCATTTAAATTAGAATTTACCCAAATCCATTTATATAGCTATTTTCTGTAATATTTTCCATATCTATTCAGTAATAGAATAAAGATTTTATCATTTCTTATTTCCTTAAATTAATCTGTACGATAAAGTCTAGCAAATCGACATCAATCCATTTCGTATGGTAGAAAATGAATAGTTTCTCTCTAGTGCCTTCTACTCTTCTACAATCTCTTAATTTATAGTATAGTCTTGATTACTCTCGATATTGTATACGAGTACAAGTGAATACAGTATCTAACCAGGTTGAAAGGAGTGGTGAGAAATAAGAAGATAAACAGACAAAAATAGACCGTTAATCATTGTTATTCTATCTTTTATCTATTCAATTCTTGTGTTATACCAACCAATGAGATTATAAGAGATTTTTTTATTTGTCCTCATTTAAATTACTTGCAATCAAATATGTCATAACGGTAGCCGTCCAACCAGTAATAGAAAATTAACTGTTCAATAAATTCAATTTTATTACTTCTCTACTTGACGGTAACGTTTCCAATCTCGACACATGACATGACTTTTAAGACTATTATCCTATCTAAAGTCTATTAAAGAGTTATAACGGTGGTTTCTATAATTTAAGTGGATCAACCTTATTACGATTACTTTAGCCACATGCAATTTCTAAGTTCCATTTCTTACCTACAATCTTGACTATTGGTAGTGGATAGAAGAGGGAAAAAAACAATTTAACTTCTAGAATTAAGAAATTAAATGATATTAAACAGCAATTTTCATATTGATTACATACAATTGCCTATTTAACTTTCCGTCATTTTGGATATGAAACGATTAAATCCTTATTGTTAAGGTAAGTTATACTGTATAATTTTAGAAAAGATAGAGGGCTAAAAATTATTTAAGAATAGCGCATGAAAATTGGGCATGTAATCTTGGTAAACTAATTATTGATTATGAATTTATAAAAATAAATTTCTATTCTCTGCCATGCTTACACAACTTAATCAGCCTATTAAATGAGTAATATTTGACTTTATAACCTTTCATTCTTTTCTTCCTTTTTATTAAAATTAAGAAAAAAATATAGCATGACGTTCTTTCATAGCAGGATAAACGAGATGTTTTAAAATTTAAACCTCGTTATGTACAGTATGCCCAATCTTTGCTCTTCGTCCATAACGCTATCATCAGTAATATATTCAATTCTTTTTGATCTTTTCACCCAACTACTTAAGCCACTTTAAGATCAATATACCGTAGTTTAAATTGACTACTGAGAATACGATATGAGTTCTATAATCAAACAATACATGAAGATAAAAAAAACTCAGCTTGAAAATTGCACTCACCAAACGAAAACTACAGTCGATACGCTATCTATCCCAATAGCCTTGCCATCATTTTTCTCTACAACACGAAGCATAACGGCCAACTTTAGATAATTCTTCTTATTCCATTCTTTAGAAAGAAATAATCGACAATCACAGTAATCCGTCAACCATTTATATGCAATATTGAACAGTTATTCTTACGCTGCAATGTTTAGTAAAGTATGGCTATAAAATGGATAACCATTATTTTGACTGAAGGTTAGAGTGCTTTAGTCGAAATTGTTTCTACTTTACAATATTAAAAAGTTATGATTACCTTTTAATCCATTAATAAACTGTGACTATATAATGGATAATTATTCTCTTGATTGATGGTTCGAGTTTGGTAGTGAAAATGGTTTCCACTTCATAGCATAATATTGAAAAGTTATTATTACCTTCTAATCTGTGAGTAAACTATGGCTTTAAAATGGGTAACCATTATCTTGATTGATGAGTAAACTACCGCACTCGAAATTGTTTATACTTAAATGCATAATATTAAAATATGATAATTACTTTTTAACCTGTTAGTAAACTATGACCATCAACGATCATGACTGTCATATGTTGAGTTTAATCTGTCTACTTTCAATGGAAATTGTTTATACTTTAAGAATAATATTGAAAAGTTATGATTACTTTCTAATCTGTTAGTAAACTAGGGCTATCAGTAATCGTGACAGCCATGTGTTACATTTCATCTGTTTACATGTAGAATATAAATTACTTTTTGCTCTCCAAGAATAATATTGAAAAGTTATGATTACATTTTAATCCACTAATATAATACGACCATCACACATAAAAATGGTACTGTATTAAATTGAATCAGTCCACCTCAACTCGATTAAAATACGCTAAATTACCAATCTTATCCTCTCAATTTTTCAACAACATACGGATCTGGCGTAGCTCACAACTAATTTAAAAGAAATTGTAGCATTTTTTAAATCTGGAGTAAACAGGAAAGCTTGTTCCCTCTTGAGCATAGGCTAGCTATAACTTTTTATTCTTCAACATACTTGCAGCGCAGTTAAATTGACTATAGAAACAAGAAAAATCTAATTCTCGGTTACTCCATAGAAACTTTTGCAACCACGACTAACTTTAAATTGTTAAAACCCAGTAGTATATCTTTACTCTCTTTCAGAAATTCATTTTTTGCTCATATCTGCTCCAGCGACTGAAATATCAATAGGCACAGTTATTTTTCTCCACATTACAGCACTAACTTGTCAACATCATCTATTTAAACTCAATGCTATTCTTATTTATCTCTTTCATATTCATTACCTCTAAATTTGTAAGCATCCGATTGATGACAACTACATTTTTACAGTCTTAAAATAATTACTTAATTATCAATCGATATTAAGGATGGGAAAGTTAAATAATTTAAATATTTGCTTGCAATCTTATTTCGTGTAGCTGCTTTGCAAGTTATATTTAAGTTGCTTTATAAAGTGATTTTATAAACTGTATCCTATTGATGAACTACTCGCAATGCATTGCAGTAGAAGTAACAATAGTTTAAATAGTTTAAAAAATCTCCATAGAAGATAGATTGATATCGGTAGAGGTAGTAAAGTCAAAATAGGATTGCAATAAAAAGAAATTTTATTTTAAGTAATAACTATCCAAACAGGAAGCTATTCCTTCTTATTCAAGATGGTGATTTAATCCCCTGACCATATTGGTTAATCAATTAACATTATAGGTGCTGTAATCTGATTAAGTCTAAACAAAAATGAACAAAAGTGGAAGCAGTAAAATTAGCTTAAATACAAGCCAATATGAACAAGTAAGTAGAAAATGCTTCGATAATCCCACTTTGTCTGCTTGCATCTTCCTCTAATAAATTTTTGGTCAATACTATGTTGCTTTTGAATTATTTTAGCTCCATGAATAGTTACAGATGTTCAATTTCTTTCAATAGAGTAATGGCGTTATTGTTTGCAGTTATATTGTCGTTCAATCTATTTTTTACCAATTAAAATAACGTTAGTAAAGTCTTGCCATTTCCATGATGAAGTAATACACGATACGGTCATAGCTTCTAAATTATTACTTTTGCCTTATTGATGGTAAATGATTGAAATCAGTTCTTTCTTGCCTGATCTATTTTGTTTGTGTGCGTCTTAATTTGTAGAAATTTTATGGGAGTCCACTGAGCAAAAACTCGAATTTAGACGATACTGACGAGTTACTGCGGTATAAAATCGGAGAAGACAATCCATCTATTCATAGTGCCAGCCGAATTAGTGGTAGTTTTACACGCTATCGTGGCGGTAGTAAGTTATCACGATATCAATCTTCACCCAATTACCCTAGCCACTATGATGAAAATTACCAATATCCTATGAACTCCAATTCGCAATTATCTTTCTCGCCTAATCACTTTGCTAGTAACCCTGTCAATCGATATGATTTAGCATCGACTCCAGATAGCTTAAGAAATACCAGTTTACATGGAGAATCTGTTCTTGATAACAGCGTAGCAAATCCAAGCCTGGTCTATTCTCATCGAGGTGATGATTATAGCAAGAATTACTCTTTAGAGCAAAAGAAACACGATGAGCCAATTGAAGCTACAAATGGGCAAGCTTCGGATACAGCATCAACTCAACAGCAAACTAGTGATAGCCTTCATGATGGATTCGATTCAAATAGTCAAGATTTGCATCGATTTGGTCATCTCGACAATGAAGCACTCGTCAAGAGGACTCAAAAATTACTGGATGAGACATTAGAATCTTATGATAAAGAAGCTTATGTTCAAGGAACCCAATGGAGTGATCAAAGATATCAAGGACATGCGAGTATCACTACAAGTCATGGTAAGTCATTACTCTCCTTTATTACTAATATCTTGCAACTTTTATGCTGATGTAAGGAGAATTCTAACCTTGAAAAATGAAATCCTTCAGAATTGAAACATCGTCAAAAACAAAATGTATCGATGGAACATGATAGGTCTTATTCGAAACCTAAGATAACGGATTCAGCAACTAACAGAAGTGCTAATTATTATCCTGATCATCATAAACTCTCAACCAATACCAGTATCAATATAGGTAAGTTTCGATCAAGTCTACTTGGACTATATAAATTCAGTAAAGGAAAAACTAACATTTAATGTGTTTTGCTAAAGTTGCGATCTTTTAATTTGAAAAAAAATTTTAAAGTCATTTTGCTTAAATCGGAAATTAATTGTTAGACTTTATATCTTCACCGCTTTGCAAATATCATCACTAGTATAGATTATACTTCCCCCTACAGCTTTAAACCGGTTAAATTTCGACAGATTTGTTCAACTTTAATAACAAATTCTTATTCAGCTGTGTTTGATAGCTTCATCGTTTTGCAATATTCCCTGTGTAGATTATGCTTCGCCGAACGATTCTATTGAAACTGCCGATTTGGGAATTCGAGAGGATATGGAAGTTATATCGAATGTTTCATCTATACCGATGGATGCTGATTTATTGCAAAGGTAAGATTCTTCGCGCATTGTTGCCTATTAATTTTTGAATGTGCTCGCTAGATATCGATATACAGCACAAGTAAATACCTATCGAAAAATCAGCATAAATTTAAGTCTAAAACTACGATCTAGCCATGGAAAAATAAGATTCGACATTATAATATCACACGCATTCTAACGCCTTATCTTTCGCTCTAAGGGTTTACAATCATAAGGATAAATTCGTATTGATACAAAGGTAGCATTTTCAATAAAGGGATTAAATGTGAGACTGACAAGGGTAAATCTACTTCAGGATAGGTTAGGGATATTTCTGCGTTTGCTGCAAGCTTATATATCAGCATTACTGTAGCGTTGGAACCGAAGATTATGTTTCTTCTTGATAAATTTATTTTAGATTAGGCTAAGTTGTGGGATATTTCTAGATTGCTGCAGGTTTTCCTATCATTATTATCATAGTATAGTATAAGAAATGTCTAATGTTTCTTCTGAGCAAATTTATTTTAGAATAAGTATAGCAAAAATTCTCAGATTACTGCGAATGTTTCTATCAATATTACTTTTGTGCAGAATAGGGGATTATGTTTCTTCTGGATAAATTTCCTTTAGAATAAGTGAGAGAATATTTGTAATTGCTGCGAGCCTTTCTCTCATTATTACTATAGTTTCTTTAGCGAAAATACTAAAACTAAATTTCAAAGATGGTCCAGTTCATAGTATTTTACAGCTGTTATCCCAGACTAAATTTACAGTTGCATTGTATAGCATACAACTTGGCAAAAAAGTTTCTATACTTTAGCATAGGTAGTAGCCAATTGTACGTCTATATACACTGTCAAAAAATTAGACAGAAAATACTATTTCTGTAATAGTTAATAAAGGGAAGGAAATTTACTCTAGTGCTTGCCAACACGCATCCAATGGGCCATCAATCTTATAATCACCTTAAATTATAATTCAAGTAGTAATGAATCAATTTCTTCCTTTAAATTGAGAACTTTCCGGCTCAAATAGGCATAATGTCATTTCGAATTGAGCTTTGTCTCATATTTACCTTAGCTGCAGTTCAATTTTTACTGCCAACATCGTAATGTAGTAATTTATGATAACCTTATTCTACAACACTCAATCTATTCAGAATTATGATTATAGTCCAGGGATATCATCAAGGTAGTGTCTAATCTTCTCGAACTAATATAGTTTTATCTTGAAATTTGATTATCATCATGTTTATAACCAGGATTTCCGATAATTATAACTGACTTATTCATCATCATCATCACTCGAGCTCAGCAAATATAAATCATCAAATCATTAACATCTTACTCAGCCATCGCTGCTACTACAGGGTAGATAGTATAATCCATGACTATCATTCTATGACCTTAACATCTTACTTAACCATCCTACCATTAGATAATGAATCTATCGTTTTGATCGAAACTAAGTCCATCAATTTATCGAAATAGTTTATGATATGCTCATATGGTAGGGTAGATAGTATCATGGATGGGCTATCATTTCCTCATTCTAACACCTTACTTAACTACTACTACTGTAAAATAATCAATCATTTTGTTTGAAACCAGACCTATAGTATTGGCTGGAATAGTTTAGAATATAGTATGATGGATGGGCTATCATTCCCTAACTTTGATATCTTACTTACTGTAACCATCACTACTGTAAGATAATCCATCATTTTGTTTGAAACTAGGCCAAATAATAGTTGTTAAAATAATTTATAATAAAGTAGAAATCGATAGTATAATAGATAGGATATCATTTCGTAATAACTCTGATATCTTATTTAACCATCACTGCTATTAGAGAATTAATCGATCATTTTGGTTGAAACAAGGCCCTTGAATTCGTTCTAATAATAATAGAGTAGGGTAGATAATATGGTGGATGGGCTAGCATTCCCTCACTGTAATACTTTACAATTACTACCGTACTCTTCGAGAATTATATATCGTTAATTAATCATTATGGTTGAAACAAGGCTAATGCATTTGTTGAAATAATTTACTATACAGCGAGGGGAAGAGGAGATATAATTATAGATGGGCTATCATTTCCTCACCTGGCCATCTTCATCACGATAAGATAATATCCATCATTCTATTCATACTCAATCATCCCTACCGTTTCGATAGTTCATCATTCTCGTTGAAATCATATCCATTGAAATAACATGCAATAGAATAGATTCGACTGCAGAATGGATGGGCTATCATTTTCATGCTACAATAATGTTATACCAGCATACTACAATAGCTATCAAGATGTAAATCTCATACAACAACAGTTTAATACCAGCCGATCAAATACATAAATAACCCTTCCCTCCATTATTTCCTTCCAAAATGGGCTATTAGCAATCGATCCGTTATGCCGACAAGCCAATTATCATCACCAAGAGTTGAACAAGCTTTTGACCACGATAAAGTGATTGCATCTACTTTAATTCAACCTCATCATCCAGTTAAGCAAGAGGATAAAAAAGAGGATCACAGCAATGTTCAACATCTTCCTCATGATGCTGCTCATCATCAACAACAAGATCAAGCGAATCGTCCCAACATACAAGTAATTGATATGACGGATAAATCATCTCGACCAAATCAACTTAGCCAAGAAGAAATTGTCGCTGATGAGGATCGCATAGCTCAAAATCAACCAAGGCAAAAAGAAGCTGTAGTGAATGGTGAGGCTTTAGCTCAAAATCAACCAAGGCAAAGTGAAGTGGTAATGAATGATGAGAACTTGGCTCAAAATCAACCAAGGCAACAAGAAATTACAGTCGATGATGAGACCTTGGCTAAAAATCAACAAACCCAAGAAGAAGTTATACGAATATGGCGAGATATAACACGCGAAGGGAAACTGAAACGTGAACTATCCAATAATAATATAGCAGAAATGGAAAATGAAACTAGTCATGATGGCAAGACTATCAATACGGAAAAGAAAGTTAAATTTTCTATTAACGATATCAAAGATGATGATGATCTTAAGAAAACGATAATATCCTCTGAGGATAGCAATCAAGTTCAGAATAGTCAACATACACAAATCGACGACGATCTGGATAGTAGTTATAATAGCCAATATGGTCGAAGACGGCGACCATCTCGAAGTTTCCGTCAGCGAAGTTTAGAAATTAAAAGGCTAGAACTACGAGAAACTACGCATTCTGAATTTCGCAATCATGTACAAAATTTAACCGAATCACGTAAACTTAGCTTACCTACCGAATTAGATATGAAACTTCGAATGAATACTGCTGTTGCATTGCGACGACGTTCTAATAATGTTGCATTGCCGGCAGAGGTAGAAGAAAAGTTAAAACATTTACAACGATATCCCTCGATCGATTTTGGCGACGATCTGGGGATTGATGAGAAATTAATGCGATTATTTGAAGATGATACTGATTCAGCTGAAGATGTCCTTATTAGTTTAGGTTTTAGTTGTGCTGATGAACGCTTTATACCATCACGATTTGGCGATTCTTGGTTTCAACGTTTTCAATCGCCTGTCATTGAATTATCCAACTCCATGTTAACCGATAGTCCATCAGAAACAGCCATTTATAGTAGTAATTGTCGTGAAGTTACCATGGAAGAATTAGTTGAAACTATGGGTGATCGAATATCACTTTATGCATTACCACCCGATGCTGACGATTATGATGGTAGTGAAGAAAGTCGTATTCGATCTACATCGAAACTTGAAAATAAAGTCAAATTAAATAAATGGACTCGAGCTTTATCGCGATTAACGAAAGAGAAACGTGAAGAAATTTTACGCTTAACAAGAAGTGAAAGAACTGTAGCACGTTGGCATAAAGCTTTCCATCGATTAAATAAGCGAAAACGCCGAGAAATATTAAGTTATTATAATCCGCCTAAAGATACTTCCTTAACACCTGATGGCCAAACCGAGCTCAATGATCATTCTTCATCCTTGTTGAAACCAAGCGAGACAGGAACTCAGTTAAAGAGAGCAGTATCTGATACTGATATTATTCGACAAATTCGATCGGAAAATTATTCCATGCAGCTTCCATCTAATTTAACATTATCACAAAGTGATCATGGAGAAATGAATCTCAACCCTATCTCTATCAAGACATTAAAAAGTGAGAACCAAAAAGAAAAAAATCAACTTCAAAAGGATACTACACCATCAACAACAAGTAAAATAATCCATCAAGAAAATGATCAAGTTAATACTGAAACGATCAACGATCATCAAAATAATGAGCATCAACATCATCGATCATCAACCAGAGCGAAGAAAGAAAATACAGTTAATATTATGGATGATAAAGTGGACAATAATAATAATAATAATTATAATAATATAGCTAGATTACGTTCATTTACATTAGATTTAGGAGATGGTATCGACGATGATAAAGACGATGCAATTGCCTTGACCAGAAAGCGTAGTGCATCGGCTCATCAGAAAACAAAATCCAAAACAGCTCGACCTAAACTATCAGCAATTGGTAAAAGACGACAATTGGATTTTGGTAGTCCTAAGAGTATCGAAGAAGATCAAGCTGTATCATCAGCAAAAGCGGATATTTCTATTACTAATATCAATTTCAATCCAAGACCTCTTCTATCGAATCGATCTCAATCATTAGCGCAGAATTTATTGAATGATGGCCGCCAGCTGTATAAACAACCTCTAGACAAGCCAAAAAATGCAGAGGATGATTCCATTCAGTCTAATTCAAAGTCAGTACCTCATTCTAAGGATAATCCATTAGTTCTAGATCCTCTTAATAGTCAAGAAAGTCACCAAGGCGATCAAATATCATCATTGGCAATACCTGATGATAACCAAACGAGTTCCAATTCAATCCATCAACAGAGTAATGATCGAGTAGATTCGATTTATAATCAGAATGATCGATCAGAGGATAAAGTACCATCATCAGCAGTATCAGATACTGCTACTACAATGAGTCATGATGATCTTAATCTTCCTGTATTAAATCCATCATGGATGGAGGAAAATATCAAGGATCAAGATCAAGTGAATCAAAATAGAACGACTAGCCATAATGATAACAATCAATGTATAAATCAAATTAATGTTATACAAGCAAGTGGAAACGATCAACATCTTCTACATGATAATCAAGTCAATAGAAAGGATTTCAAATTGAATCAGCAAGATGGTCATGATCTTCCACTCTTTGGGAATGATTCAAAGATTGATC